TTTTCTTATAATTTAAAAATAAATATTGCAAAAAAGTAATTCTTATTTTCAAATATTATTATACCAAATTTTATTTATATATTTTACCATTTTAAAAAAGTAAATCAGAGTTAAAAAAAATACAAAAACATAGCCAAATTTGTCTGCATTAGCCTACAATTTAAGAGATAATTTTTTTTTTACATAATAATCATAGTTGAAATTTTGCAGGTTTATGCATAAAAATTACACCAAGGTACTTGCATAGTAACATAACAAAATAATTATGATTGGTTAATCTAGAAATATATCAAAAAATTTTAATTTTTTAAATTTTTTTAACAAATTGACTAACATTGAGATTTTTTAAACAATATGTAATCAAAATTAATTTAATTTTTTTTTATAAATATATTCTATATATCTTCAAATATTAAATATATTTATTTAATTGCAAGTGAATATGTAAAATTTTGTGTAATTGAATTTTAATTCAAATGTATCAAGTTGGTGTATCATGCTTAATGAGATGACCAATATATAATTTTTTTTTGTATAAAATATTTTTTAAATAAAGTATCGATTTTCTAATTATAATTATATGTAATACCTGATTATGCATGTGATCATTGGGACTCCGTCCTTTTGGGTTCCTTGAGTTTCAAACTCAACTCAAAAAAGTCCGACTCAAATCGACTCAAAAGACCGACTCGGACTGGACTTTTAACATCTCTAGCCTCGGGTTTAGAATAGTATTTTGATTGCTGTTTGTGCGACCATTGTTCCGATTCATATTAGTTCCGGAACTATTCCTCATTTTTACCAAATACAAGTAGTGTACAATGTGACAAGTGATATCTAAAATTTTTGACGACTTTTGCCATATGTGGATCGTGAGTTATCGTTATAGACAGTACAATTGATAACAGATAAAGTATATAAAGAGAATTTATTTTCGTACGTACGAATTTTCAAAAAAAAACTTTTTTTGAATTTTATTATGAAGTGTTCAAAGTGCAAACTTAAAAGACTTTCCAAAGAATTCCCTTTAAAAGCTGTTTCTCATTTATGCCAACACATCCCAACTTGGTGCTTGGAGGTTTTAAAAAGTTTAATTTATATAATTGTTTAAAGAATTATAATTCATTTATGTATATCGGTATATATTTATTTACATATTTAACATTAGTGCGTGATAACATATTTAGAAGATAAAACCGAAAGCAATGAACTAGAAGGATCTGAATGTCCTGAATGTAATGTCGTTCTCAAACAAGAAGAAATAGATTATTTAACCTCTTTTTGGAAAAAAGCATCGTTTAAGCTTAATATTCTGGGTATGACTCAAGCTCACGATTCACCAGAAGGAATTACAAGCGAAACAGGTGAATTCTATGTTGTATTGTTAAATGGTCAAAAGTACATGTTCAGGCTTGAAGACACGAAGTCAGTTAGAGCTTTGAAGATCGCGTTGGCAAAAAAGACTGCTGTTGAAATTGGAAAGCAAAAATTAATATTCAAAGGTGCCGAATTGGATGTAAGCATCAATAAAATAAGTTAGGAAATAATTTTTTATACAAGCATAAATTTTACTTTATTAATAGGTCGATGATAATAGTCTCGTTATTAACTATGGAATTCACGCTGGGTGTCATATTCAGCTCGTGGTTATTCTCTGTTCTATTACGAAAGAAATTTCTATTGCCAATCTAGCGTTTGATTTATATTGGGGATATCCACAAAACGGCAGAGATTACCTTGATGGAACTTGCTTAATATATACTGGAATGACTCTTTGGAAAAAATATGATTATTCTTCAAAACAATATCCTGACATAAATTATATCAGCCATTCAGGTGATATTATGAATGATAATAATAGACGAGGTCAGTAATAATTACTATGTAAATGAGTCAAGTTAAGATATATTGTCGTTTACAGTTTTATATCGTTATGTAGGTCATCATCGGATTACAATAAAACTAAATCAACTCCCAAATGAAGTTACTACACTTTACTTTATTCTAAGCGCCTGGAACTGTCCAAATATCAGTCATTTTGTCAGTCCGAGCTTCAAATTATATGATGAAAATTCACCTCAAGAACAATTATGTAATTATTCGATCCAAACAGCCGCAGATTCTCAAGCTGTCATAATGTGTTATGTTACAAGATCATTTGGAGGTTCGTGGGAGGTTTTGGAAGCTGGTGTCTTATCTAATGGAAATGCTAAAAATTATGATCCCATTATAAGAAAAATTTTGGAGATAGAAAGGAATATAAAGTAAAAGTCGTAAGAAATTGTATGTTTTTAATATTATGTACTGCAGATTGTAACGTACGTAATATACACTCTTAGGCTATATCTAGATTCATTTATCTTTAATAATTATCACTATGGTGCTAAAATTTTAAATATTGCGTCACTTGACGTTCCGGATAATTACTATCCTGAAAAAAACAATCTTAAGGTTTCATTTACGCAACTCGGCGGATTTTTGGAATTTGACTTTTATTTAAATCTCCAAATTTGGGTTTAAAATATAAGCGTAACGGTAATATTATATCGAATCTAAAAAATAGTGATTAGGCAATACCGTATTCTACCGTAAATAAGCACCACACCCTCTACCCCATTTTTTTAAATGTCAGATTAACGGACATCGCAATGAGATCTTTAGCCAAGTTATTTCCGCTAATCTGGCATTTAAAAAAATGGGGTAGAGGGAGTGGTGCTTATTTACGGTAGAATACGGTAGATTGTATTTATATCTGGGGTATTAAAAAAGGTCCAATGTCAAAAATGCACCGAATTGGCCGGGATACAAAATTTTTATTTAGTGTACGAAAGGTAGTTAGTTTCCCACGCAAATTTTATTATAAAACGATTTTTCTTCAAGCGTTCGTTTTGAACCTTCCGGATAGTGTTACATTGCACCAATTTAAGATTCCTATTGGCTAATTTGTTTCAGATCATCACGTGCATTTGTGTAATTTGAGCATTGACAGTCTAACCCATCTTTTAACGGGATGGATTGGGCGTTATATAAGCGCGTGAGAGTGAAAACCTGCAAACCAATCATAGTAAATCATTAAATCGGATTCCAGGTTTTCACTATCACGCACTTATATGACTTTACAATAAGAAATAACGCACTTTAATCAATACTCTTTCAAAAATGTGCTGTAATGATTGGTTTTGACTAATTCATATACCGTATTCTACCGTAAATAAGCACCACTCCCTCTACCCCATTTTTTTAAATGCCAGATTAGCGGAAATAACTTGGCTAAAGATCTCATTTCGTTGTCCGTTAATCTGACATTTAAAAAAATGGGGTAGAGGGTGTGGTGCTTATTTACGGTAGAATACGGTAGAAAAGTTAGAAATTATTATTTAATATATTTAATTATATTAGATTTATACGCATTAAATTCGGTGAATATTTGAAATAAAGAAATTTATGTCACATTTGTTTTTAATCTAGTTATACGTCTCAAAATGTCGATAGCTTCGTATTACCACAGTCAACTCATTGCGAAATGTTGGTTTTTAGGTCAAGTAAAACTTGACCCGGATCAAATTAATCAATTAAAAAACCCAGTCGGCATCAACATAATCCGGCCCGCACTAACCCTAAAATTCTGCTAGATGTCATTTAGAACTGGGTCAAGTTTAACTTGACCTAAAAACCAATTTGACCCGTAACATATATAAAAAAATTTTATAATTTGTTCACTCGGGCAAATGGCTACTCAAAAGTACAATCAAAAGTACAATAGAATCACCCAAACCGTTATTATGGGAACTTAATATGCAAATATACATAATCCGAGGTCTACATATATAAACTTTTTGAATGTAAATTCATTTTAATATCACAAGAACGCGTAATCTCTGCATGCACAAAATTTTATAGATACGTAAATGAAATTTCATATTTGGTAGATTTACAGAACCTTAATAAATGTCATTGTTCCTTAATAAAGCTAGAGCGTCCGGGCTTATGGGATTCCAGGGATTTTTCAATGAAAATTCCCTGAACTTGCAAAGTCTGGATACTCTTAATAAAGCTTATCTACAAAATGGCGCATAAAATGGCGTAAGAGACAAGTTGTCTTCTGATTTAGCAACTTGAATAATATTATGATTTTGTACGCATGTACGTACGTACTTAAATATATATCTGACATCAGTTAATATTTTATCCTCATAATAAAAATATTGGCTTGATACGTAATATTTTTATGTTACAAAAATGAATAAGAGAAATACGAGTAAGAAATCCAATACATTTGGCAATAGCTATGATAGTATACAAGGATCAGGTTCTTTTCCGAATACATTACAAACTACCAGTGATATAAGCAAGAACAATTTAGATTTTCAGTTCGGAAATACTTACGAACAATCCTCACAGAATAATTCATATTCTCAGAGTGCACCTACTGACGAACAACAAGACTTACAGCATCATAGTCAATCAAGTAATTCATATTCTCAGAATGCATCTACTGACAAGCAACAAGGCTTACGGTATAATAATTCTGACAAACAACAAGAGCAGCATCATAGTCAATCAAGTTATTCATATTCTCAGAATGCATCTACTGACAAACAACAAGGCTTACGATATAATAATTCTGACAAGCAACAAGACTTACAGCACCATAGTCAATCAAGTAATTCATATTCTCAGAATGCATCTACTGACAAACAGTATAATAATCCTGATGAACAACAACACTTATATCATAGTGATGGGAATTACAAATATAAGAATTATAAACCAAACAGTGAGGATTACAAATATGAAAATTATCAATCAAGTAGTGAAAACTACCAATATAAAAATTATAATGGAGATCATAGTATACATGAAAATTATCGATCAAACGATGATGCTAGTAATATGGATATTGATCCATCTTTATGCATCACTTCAGTTTTTCATGTTTATTTGCCAGTGAACATAGAAAGCGCCTTGCAACCCGCGGTTATTGGTAATTGTTCTGCATTAGGTAATTGGACGGAACCTAATGTTTTACTTAAGCAGATTCCAAATTCAGCTCTTTGGATTTCCGAGTCTGTGCTCATTCCTACAACCGTTGAAGTTGAATATAAATATTGTCTGTTTCGATCCCAAAAAAAATATATTATCTTGGGTAAACCTGTTTATGATATTGCGTGTTGTGAAGGCTACGGAAAAGACAATAGGAAAATGACATTCAGAAAAAACCATTATGATATTTGGCAGAGTGTCAATGAATATAGATTTACCTATTTGAATCCTATAAACGGCTATCTTTTCGTCGAATACATTTACAATTATATTAAATCTCTTGATTGTTTAAAAGATGGAATTATGGAATATCAACAGATTTACAAGAATCACAAAGATCTAACTGTCCGTGCAACAAATATCGAGTTTATTGCGGGAAAACTGAGAAATAGCACCTCAAAAGAACAGAAAATTTTCTTATGTATTCTTCTTGGATATTACTTGCTTCAAGGAGGTAAAACTATGATAAATGGCATTTATTTACCCGAAAATTTCCCATCAAACATTATATTAGAAAAACTTGAAGACATTAGTCTTGATTTTATACTTTCTGATACAAAGTACTTGGTTGTTAATGCAATTAGAAGTTTGGTCCAGCACAATTCAAAATATGGCTTTACAACTTGGTTCAAAGTATTTGCATTCGCGCATGAACTTGATGCAACATACTCTTTTGTGGATATGATAGAATGGTACAATTACAAGAATAAGTCTGACAAATTTTTTAAGTCATTGGTGGAAGATGTAAAGCCCTATATAAAGGAGGAGGCATTTAGCAGAATTACAAATGTAAAATTTTTCTTTTTGTTAATCGATTTATAAAGTTCTGAATGTTGAAAAATTGAATAACACCCACAGTCTTATTTCTTTATAGAAACTTATCTGGTTATCTTTTGATCTAAAGTGTCTCATATTTTTGTGGAAAAATATTATTGAACTAAAAAATACCGACAGATATCTTCGCAAAGCTATGAAAGAAAGAATAAATGAATTCATAAAACCAGACAATCCCATTGACTTGAAGAGACATTTTGATGAATTTTCAATGGATCTTCAAGCCGAAGTTGCGTTGTCCTTCCAAGAAAAAACTTTGAAATTATTAAATGAAAAAGGGATATCTTGGAGCAATCAGAATATAACTTCTATTCTAGACCTTCTTCAAAATTCTAATCTACAATGGTCAGAGAAAACCTATACTCATGCACTCGAAGCCATATCCGAATCAAATCAAATGGAATTATTAGATATTTTTCCTATAATTCTGAAATTTGTCTCTGAATTGGATTTATCAATGACAAGCCAATCGATTTTTACAACATCGATTAGATGGTTTAAACAAACTTGTTCAATTTGCTCCATTAATACGTCTAAAGTTCTTTCTGAAAATAATCAAGGAAAAATTGCTTATACGATTTTCGGCAATCTTTCTATTATATATCCACTTATCGAAAAGCGTCCAAAGATTTGGGAAAAATTAAAAAGCCATGCAAACGAGATTGTTGCACCATTATCTGAAGATGTTTTATTTTCCGTTTCAATATTTGCCGATGATTTTGATCAAGAGATAATATCTTACCTTAGAACTTTAATGAAAACAAGGATAGACTCTATTATTTGTGAGCTTGACAATCATTTATTTAAAAAGATTATGAAAATTAGTGATCATAAATCAATTCTAAATCTGCCAAATAAGTGAGTATTCTTATATTCTTTTGGTAAAATCATCGATTGATGAATTTTTTTTTTTTTTATTAAATTGTTTAAATAGATTTTGCGAGGAGATAATGTGCCATATTTTCAATCGATTACAGCCACAGACTGACAAGAAATGCTATGATGAAATAGCACACCAGCTTTCGATTCTTAAATTTTCACACTTTTGGACACTTATATTTAAGGCGACTGGCTTCACTCAAGCTTTACATTCTCATCCATACGTCAAAACCGCACGAGATACTGTAATTCTGTTGGCAAAAATGATTCATGGAAATTCGATTACCATGGGTTTGCTTCAAGAAATGCTTGAATACCCTAACTCTGTACTTAAAGATTATATTAATTCTGCTGTTGGAACTACTGAGAACCTCATTGTTACTGACGAAATCCTTGAAACTTTACGCGCTAATTATAAAGATTATGATTTAACATTTATCCATCTCGATGAATTCTACACGACATTCTGCTCTTCCCCCATAATACAAGACGCGAAATCATATCACGATGATTTGCAAACAAGGCTTAACAATATGAATACAGTTACTCTTGAAGAATCACATTCTCAGGATCATTGGTTAAAACATACTCCAGCAATTATTACTATGAAATCATCATATTACTTGATTCAATCACAAACGTTTAAAAACATTTTTCATACAATACTACAAACAATATTAAAAGAGGATGAGCGAGAATTAGTCTTGGAAATTGTGATTAAAGAAATCATTCCACACTCAATTGAGCAGTACAATCTCGTATGTAAAAGATATAAAACTTGGGAAAGCATCAACTTTTTTGAAGCAAATAAACTATGGCAAGGTGTTAAACCAAATCAGGTTCTTGATGAGATCAAATTTATCTCTTTTAACTGTAATCGATTTACAGAATACAATGAGAAGCAACGATTGGTAAACGCAGTGAATCATTTGTCCGATGTTTCATTATGGATGGAAAGATTAAATAAACTTAAAATTGTAATTGAATTTTTGGAAATTCCGTTTAATTCAACTCATTGGGTGACGAAATATTTGAATCTTTTAGATAATAATAAGTTGGAGCTTGGGCAGTTGCATAAAATTTTTGAAGATGTTAATAATTGTGTACAAAAACTAAAGTTAACAGATGATTGTTGGTCGATAATCAAGGAAATAGCATCTGCTGAAGATTTTGTTGTTTTTCTAAAAACCCTAGTAGGTCACGATCTTAAAAACTTAATCAATGGTGTAGATGATCATTCTGATGAACGATTAATCCAAGAAGATACAGTTTCAACATTTATCCAATTGAAGCAAATTATGGAGCCTTTATTAAAAAAGAGTAATGATTCAAATACTCTTGCAGTAGACAAATTCTTACGGAATCTTCATAGTATTTCCGTCAAAAACCCTTCTCTGGCTTCTAAATTGAGGCTTTGCAATGCGAACGCTCAAGCATTAAAGAATATGTATGATAATATCTCGAATCGAGGAGAAGTGACAAAAGAAAAGATTTATCATGCAGTAACAAAGGGTGAATATTTATTCGCGAAAACGGATTCCAATGAATATAAATGCACGGCAACATTATCGTATCTTTCTAGCAAATCAAAAGGAAGAGTTGATTACACATTTGCCGAATTGCAAGATTTGCGTGGACGTGCTCTATTAATTGCCAAAGCACCTGTAAATTCAAAGGCTTCAAAAGATCATGAAGATACTATCAACGAGATAACCTCTGATCATATGAAAGAATTTGTCGCTCAAGTTGATCTTGCTCAACAGATAATTAATATCGCTTCACAGGTAATTTTACTGAAAATTTTCCTTAGGGTTATCTTATAGCAAACATCGTTTGGCTAATGCAAAATTGGCCAGCCATATTCTCTAAATGAGCAATGAAAATAGCTTCTTTTATTTCTTTTATATTGGGTCAGTTATAAACCTAGCTTAAATCTATTCTCTCTCCAATTATTGCCAATTATATGTACAAAATTAAAGTTAATAGAGCTTGGCCATTTTACTTATCGAAACTTTCAAGCATCGACTCATTCTACGACTCAAATGGAAGATTTTCTTCAAGAGTTGATAAAAGATTATAAATCATGGGAAGAGATTTTCGCACGGGCACAAGAACATCATTACTATTTGCTCTTTTTTCCAGCTCGACATATTATGACCTTTTACGATTATTTTTCAAACAACCAAGAAGATGACACCGCCAAATATAACATCAAAGAACAATGTTCGACACTTTTGAAATTTGTTAATGATAAAGCCGAGCTTCCTGATATTGTCGATGACATCAACATTCCGTGTGAACCTGACAACTATTTTAATATTCTTTGTGCAATCGGAACCGAGTTGCACAATATTTTAGAAAATTTTCCGCCAAGGAAGCGTTTAATATCAGTTCCAATTGAACAAAACCTGGAAGATGCAATTTATTCTGACCAACTTTACATCGCAACATGTAATGACAAGTTTCGGGTACCAAATATTATTATGTCACTGTATAATATACACAATAAATGTTATCCGGAAGCATGGCAGCTTCTAATTTGCAAGTCTTCTACCACTGTAGAAGAACTCTTGATCTTCATAAAACGGTGTTTCTTTGCTGAAGAAAATGGCTACGGAGAACATTTGTTTTGCATCGCCAATGTTGAATCTTTAGATTTTGAATTGCAATATCAGTTAGTGACAAATATACGTTCCTTACGCCAACAAGAAAATCGGTTCAACTTATCTTTGATATGTTGCCGCGAAAAGGGCATGCATCATCATATATTAGACCAATTTTCTGAATTTGTTCATGTAACCAGAGGTCTTAGCGCAGATTCAATGCGTAATATATACGAAAAATTGTGCCCGAATGTGGTAACAGTATCTTCTGATTTATCTGGTTCGTATAAATTAATTCTTTGGTTTTTTGATGGTTAGTAAATTTGCCCAATATTATTATAATTTAATATTTGATCTCATCATGCGGTTAGGACAAGGAAAAACTGAATGGATTAGGGAACAAAGTTTCGAACGCGGTTTGATTCCACGAAATTTCTTAATCAGTGATGGGATGTCATTTGAAAACCTCGCACGGAAATTATCCGTAATTAAACTCAAAAAAACGGAAAGTTTGCATTTAAATATTATGTTAATAGACCATCCCTACGAAGTAAACATGTTTTTATTTGAGTTACTCTCGTTTGGTTGTATTAATGACATCAATTTTACCTATATACCATCAACATTTTTCTATATTGAAATTGCATCAACTACGGATCAATATTTACTTAACTCGCTCCCAATTACTGGATATTTAACAAAAAAACACTTGACATGGAATATTAATAATCTTATTGTTTCTCACACTGCAAACAGCCCAATTCAAGTAGTTTCAAAATATTTGGATGAATATGATCGTGGCATAATAAACCAAGTAGATATCAATTTTAAAGAACAAAAAAAGCAGTCACTCCCATATAAACGTTGCCAACAGTTGCTGCAAAAATATTTCTTTAAAAATAATACGCAAGATGTTGCATCATATCGTTTTCTTGAAATATTCATTAATGTTCTTGCTGACCAACTAGTCCGAATGTCATCAAGCACATTTTTCCGCGTAGAGATGTTGCAAAAGATGGTTGAAGATGAAAATATCCGAAAAACACTACTAGAAACTCTAATAAAAGTTTCTATGGACTTTGCCACACGTTCTGTGGATTCCAAGACAGAGCAATTAAAAAATAAAAATTTACTCGATGGAAAGAACGCAAACATAGAGAATATAAAACATTGGGAAGATTCAAATCATCTATTAGTATTTTTCTTGTCACAAACACCTGATTCTATCTGTGCTCTCTATCGCAACAGAGCCATGGTTCCAGAAAATGTTAAAAATCTATTGAAAAGTCAACATATTCCTGTATCAAAAACTGCTTTAAATGTTCCATTTGAATTAGAAGACTTTGATAAAATGTCTTCAGAAGATGTATTAATTCAATTAGAATGTCTGGCACGTGTAACACTTGAGAAACGAAAATATCCTATGTATGCTCTTTCAACGGACAATCTTTTAAAAATGGCATTAATTTTATTGCGATCTAGGGCAAACATTCCGGTGGTTTGTTGTGGTGAAGCAGGATGTGGCAAGGTGATAATTGTGTGCATACATTATCGTTATCGCACTTTTCAAATTACAGTAACCACCTTATCAAGAAGTGCAAAAACCTTGACATTTTTCTATGAATAAATCAACTTGCCTATAAAAATAAAATTTACAAGATTCTCCGTTATTATTCCTTGTAGTATACTAGAACTGATACATTAGTTTAGCAAAAAAAATTTATTATTAACTGGCCTTGCAATTATTCTATCTAGAAATAAACCAGTTTTAGTACATTACTAGAGATAATTCTATAAAGCGAAATATAATGAGGAATCTCGGGAATTTTTAAATTTAGAGATCTTTTTGTGGTGGGCCACCATCGGCGGTCACAATAACGGCGATTTGAAAAGCGCAATAATATTTAATTTATTAAATTTATATGTAGAAATAAATTGTAATGACTAATCATTTGTTCTTTTAATACATTTTTAGACAAGTCTAATTCAGTTTCTTTCAATAGTCGTAGAAGTAGAATTTCGAGCACTTAATCTTCATGCAGGTGTTAGCGAACAGCAAATAATTGAATTTATACATAGCGCAGAAAAAGTTGCACAGGATCGTGAAGTTTGGTTATTTTTTGACGAAATAAACACTTGTAATCATATTGGACTTCTTGCAGACCTCATTGCTCATCGGATCCTACTTGGAAACGAAATTCATCAAAATATTCGTCTGTTTGCAGCATGTAATCCTTATCGCTTACGTCAAAAATCTGACACACAAGTAGGTCTTTTGGCCAAAAGATATGAAGAGCAAAGTAAATTAGCATATCAAGTACACCCACTTCCGGATCAAATTTTAGATTATGTATGGGATTATGGAATCTTGAAAGCATCGGATGAGAAAATTTACATCGACATAATGGTCAAGAAATTCTTAAAAGATTTGGGGACGCAATTATTCGCAGAGTTGTTAGTTGCATCACAAAAATTTACTCGAGATCATGAGGGAGTGCATAGTGTTAGTCTTCGAGATGTCAAACGAGCCATCATCCTGGTCAAATTCTTTAATGAAAGTTTTAAGAATCCTCATCGAAAATCTTTATTTGCAAGGGACAATATTACAAGATCTTACATATTAGCATTAAGTCTTTGTTACCAAATTAGGTCATTCGATCGAAACATACGTACACAATATTGTGAGCAAATGTGCGAAATTTTCAATAAATTTAGAGGTAACAAGTTTAAACAAATAAATCCAGGCATTTTTAAAGAAATAATTCGCAAGGAACAAGAAGACTATATGTCACGAATGACGAAGCCACCACAAACTGCTGAAAATGATGCTCTCCTTGAAAACGTGTTGGTAATGATCGTGTGCATATTAACACGCATTCCGGTATTTATAATTGGCGCACCAGGGTACGCTCAGTGATATTTTACTATTGTACTTATCGTTATTATAATTTACAATCGATATTCCGTAATATTTTGTACAACTTATTAATTTATTCAGGGCTTCAAAATCCCTGGCTATTCGTCTAGTTAGCCAAAACCTTCGCGGGTCTGATTCCGACGATCCTTATTTCAGAGGACTTCCTCAAGTAAACAATTATAACTATTGAAATTTGAGAGTTTGTAATTATTTTAATTTAATTAAGGTGATATTTTAGGTTTATGTAATTCCACATCAAGGATCATCATCATCAACATCCGATGGCATTGTTAAAGTATTTGATAAAGCTAATAACTATCAAAAAGGAAGTTCAGATGAATTTCCGTTAATAACCGTTGTCCTACTTGATGAAAGTAAATTATTAAATTTTTTTTTTCTCTGTTCTTTGTTTACTCTGAAACTTATTTTTTTATTTTTTTTACAAGTTGGATTGGCAGAGACAAGTCCGTTCAATCCATTAAAAGTTTTGCATTCTTTACTTGAACCAAGTTATCCTGCGGAACTTCCAAATGTTTCTGTTATTGGAATTAGTAATTGGAGGCTTGACAATTCTAAATCGAGTAGAGCTTTAATAGTGCAAAGGTTTGTGATAATTATGTGTAAAAATTTGTTATTTTGCGTGGGTTACGTTATTGATTATTGAATAAATTAGACCAAAGTTCGAACAAAGTGATCTCATTGACACGGCAAAACGGTTATTAGAAAAGAATAAATTGACATCATGGAACAGTTTTCGCGAAACAAAGCTTCAAGCCTTGGCCGACTCCTATCTAGAATATGAAAAAAATCAACCAATTCCCAATTTTCATGGACTTCGAGATTATTATTCTTTTATTAAAAGCCTTAACAGTGGAGAAGTATGTATTTTAGTCAGAAATTGGATCAAATTGATGGTATTCGATTTTTATATGGATCTAAAATATGAAATCCGGGATGAATTTTTGTTTTTTTTAGTTTAAGCCAGAACTTACCCAAATGTCCTTCGCAAGAAATTTCGGTGGCACAGACCAATTAAATATGCTATGTCAAAGTCATTTCCAAAATGTCATAACAAAATTCCATGGCCGTATTAATCACTTTAAGAAATTTTCTGTTGAAGAACTTATAAAAGCGAATCTCGAAGACACAAATGCCCGTCATTTAATGATTATTGGCAAAAGTGATTCGATAGTTAACATTTTAACATATAAATTGAGGCTATGGAGTAAGGAATTTTCAGAAAAAAATCCCAATTCTGACCAAATTAATACTTGGGATCTGGATCCAGTTATTATATATGGAAGTCAATTTCCGGATGATTTTGATGGCGATTATCAGTATGGAATACTAAATCGTATTATGGTAAGTTTTCTAAGAAAGCCTTTGAAGTTTTGCATTATGACTTGTATCAATTCTGTTACGTGCCATTTTAGGTGTGTATTGAGGCTGGAAGACCATTAATTTTAACAGACCTTGAAATTATATATGGTAATGACAGTTTGAATTATGAAACTCATAAAAAAGATTATAGAATTTTGGTTTTTACAGAATTTCTTACTATGAATTATATAATTCCATGAAATTCCGTAAACTTTTTTATGGGTTTAAGACTACAAAAAGTCACATATGCCTTTGCATTTAACAAAATAGGAAGCCTTTACGATTTATGGAACCAGAACTATATAACTGTGGGCAAGGAAGGTGATCAAAAATATTATACACGCGTTGCATTGGGCGCTTATTCGAACCCTATGGTTTGTGTTCATAAAAACTTTCGTTGCATATTGGTACTCGATGAAAAAAATGTGAATTATGCAGATCCACCACTTCTAAATCGATTCGAGAAACAAAAAATGTCAATCAATGATATCTTGGATGATGAGATGAAAGAAATGGTTGAAGAGATTGCAAATTGGGTAAAACATATATCAACGTGTGTCAAAGAAGACATGTCTAAATTAGATTTTAACGATCATGACACTTTTGTTGGATTAGACAGAGAAGAGACGCTACAAAGCTTGGTTATTCTTAATAGCAACAATTCGCAATTAAAGGATAAAGAGTATATCATTGATAAATGCAAAGAACAATTATTAGGGATTGCTTTATCAGATGGAATTGTAAGATCAAAAAGATCAATGTTGGCATCCATAAACCCGACAGAAGTTGATCGTTGGTATAATTTTTATTTTCACCAGCAATTTCATCATGATCTTCCCACATATATTCGATCCCTATTAGATAAACATAAAGTTTCAGAGAATATACAAGGTTTTAAAGCGATTATTAATACATTTTCAAACATCAATGCTGACGTCATTTCTTACTTGAATGACATTATAACATGTCAAGTTGACAAAATCTCGACATTCAAGTCTGAAGCTCAACTGCAATCTCGCATCAAATATTTCTGGCAAGAATCAGAAGCTGAACTATTAATCTTACAATGCGATCTGGCAACCATAAATGCTGGGTGTATAAAACTTGCAAAATTTCTTATTGAACAGCATAATAATGATTCTTTATTGCAAGAACAAACTAAGCATGTCTGCATAATTCTTCATATGAAGAGAGAAAATGACAAATCCACTATGTTATCATTTAATTTCATGTGCGGATGGGATTTGGTTACTATAGAGAACTTGGCCCAACAGGAATATCCTTTATCAACTTATTTAGACGGAAGTTTAATCGAGATTTTGAATATAACGCATGCATTTGATGAAATAATTAATCAAGACTTATTGTGGTGTTTGTTGTGTATGAAATTTCAATCATCTGATGAATCTGTTAATTACATAAAGTAAGTTTCAAATATTGTCGAACTTGTATTCTAAAATTTGTACGTTTTAATCATTATAATTGAACAATGCTAGATTTCTTGCTCGAAAAATCCCGGATAATGTAAAATTTTTGGATTGCCTAAAAACCAGAACATATGATTGGTGTAAAGATAATATATCTGAAAATTGGCAGTTAAACGTGGCAATCGATAAGACCTACCTATATTTATATTCTTCATTTTCAATAGCTCTACAAACATACATCCGCAATCAGATAAAAAAACCAATTTCTCAGCTTCTTTGCGCGCTAGAGAGGTTATCAGGTTTATCTACGATCATTTTTGAAATCGATGATACAGATCATTTTGAACTTTGGGAAAAAATTTTCATGGACACTAAGATCGTTAATATCAAATTCATGCCTGAGCCAAAACCAGATGTTTATTTTGTACCAAGCAAAAGGTATGATTTGAAATTTCCATTTTCAACCTATTTTATGGATCAAATCAACAAATTCAAGAAATTGTATCAACAAGATCTGGAGGTGTTAGCGGAGGATGAAGAAAACCTTGATGAAAAAACCGGAGAACTAAAATCTATAATTGTAAATGATTGCATTGAAAGATTTTCTAACAATATTATGCGTGTACTTCCAACGCTTAAATTACCATATTTTTATAATGCAGCTGATCTTTATTTCAAGGATTTTGTTTGTATTATTTCACCTGCATCTAGAGATGATGAGAATAATGAATTATTGTGTCGGATAATTTCTCATCATATGAAACAACAGGTGCCTAACCCTATTAGGCTTCATGTGCACTGGTGGTATAACTGTGATTTAATTCTAGCTGAATTGCAATTAATATTGCTTTGCCCTGATGTTAAAGAAAAGGTGCTTGGTACAGAATTTGATGAAAGCATGGAATTGAATTTTGAAGATCTTTTATTGGAGCAAGTGTCAGGGATTATGATGGAAGATCTTTGTAACATTAACATAGACGATCAGCTTCAACTTTGGCAGTGTAATGTCACAAAATTTTTATCGCTATCTAATAAATTATCGAATTCTTTTGATAACCCGAATTTACTTAAACTGCGCGTATATAATGATCTATCCAAATCTCTTCCTTTCACAAAGCTTCTCGAGATCAGAAAATTTGAACTAGAGTTAGACAACGATGACATGTTTTCTGAACAGTTTATAGCAATTGTATTTGAAAAGTTGAATGAACTGGAGCAAACAGAGCAAAATCTGTCAACTAGAAGATCCTTTATATATAGGTGTTTAGGAGTGCTCGAAGATGATTCACCTGCACGCCTTCACCTCTACGTGAGAATTTTTTCTCAAGACCCATTACCATTAACATTCGTCATTATTTACAATATCTTCTACAATGAAAATTTGGAGGATGATATATTCTTTAAATTGATCGATAATCCACTCGAAATGCTAGAAAATTCAGTGCAGCTACAGACTATTGAAGACGTATTATCGAAACAAACGGATTCATCAATGGAAGCATTATGTTGTGATGTAATTCAAACAAAATTTTTTATGTCATACAAATTTAATCAACTTACGCAATATTATTTGAAGGCAACTGAAATTCTGATTACAAATGATGTAAAATCATTGCAGCTTATCTCTGCAATTGCACTTTTAAAAACATTCGCAAATAAACTTTGGAATTCGGCTGCAAAGTCAATATCTTTGACTGAACCAATAGAATTTGAGTTTGAAGATGATGAATTTAGTATTGATTGTTTGAACAATCGATTATTGTTAGATCAACCCTTGATCCATTCTTTCATGGTCTATTTGTTGAAATCTTTACGTCTGAAAGGATTATCTATCAATGATATAAAACAATTTTGCGAAACACAACAACAGCTGCTTCCATGGCTTGGTGGACTACTGTGGGATGGTCATGACAATCGTCTTGATTTTAATCCATATTGGTGCCTTGAATATTATAAGCAAGCTGAATTGGCTTCAAATAAAATCCATTTGGGAGATAAATCACATTTGAACGAAATATTACATGAAATAGCGGATCAAAATGCAAGTGATGTAATCGCGAAAAAAGTTTCACTTGCAGGAATGATGATAAATAAATTTTACATTATTCAAGCTTCTCGCGAATTGAACCAGTCGGAGAATCATTTATCACATCAGATTATTGAATGTTTAAATTCGTCACAACTTCCTGATGTTTATAAAAACAATCTTCTTAATTTCTTATCAAATAAGCATCCATTTCGTAAAATTGCAACTAATGATGACAATACTAAACTGCTTATATCTTCGATTATTGCGCATGTTGTTGCGTTGCATATTTCAATTCCGGCCAATGCCTCTCCATTGGCTGCATATATGCAAGATTTATCGAACTACAGGAATACTTTTATACTGACATGTCCATCAGATGAACAATCGGTAATACTTAATTTACTGATCGCGGAGACACTACAATCACCAGATTACACGTATAAGGGATTGACAAGGTACAGTATTTCTTACTATTCCCAATCCAATTTTGTATTGCTTCGTTAATCATAATGCGTAATCTGGAATGATTTTTTCGTTTAAAATTTCAATAAAATCTTATTACAAAAAATCTACCTGATTTTTATCATATCGATATTGCACTCATGCCAGGTTTTGTCAAACCAGCTATCGGTTTATGTAATATTAATACTAAATCTATCCGTATTTATTAGATATGTGTGTTCTTGTGGATATATTTATGTGGTTGTTGATTGCGGTAACGTAGCCCACGAAGGCAAATGTCCAAATTGTAGAAAAGTGATTGGTGCTGTAAATAAGGAATATGGAAAAACTGCTCAAGGAAATATTCGTCTAGATGAAAGTCCGCTAACTCAAACAACCAATGCTCAGGATGAACAAGGATATATTATAGAGACGCGTAAAACTGAAAATTATTACAGTGTCCGATCGATGTCACCAGCTGCATACAGAATCCTTCATCTATTTGTGCATGCTATAATTGGTATACAAGCACCTTCAGATGTTGTCACCGAATTTATTACAAATGATAAAAACGTTAATGATATCGGTGATATTATAAATTATTGCGAAAGACATATAAATAACGATTGGGAAACGTTGAAAAATATTTTGGCCTGTGGAGACGAGCATTTAGCACTGGTTATTCACTCCATTCTTTCAGAAATGTCGCAAGAACCTCCGCAAGTAACAGAAAAGCTTCTGACATCTGTTCAGAGAGAAGCTTGGGAAATGCAATTTAGTCAGCGGTATGTCTCTCCAAAAATAAAAAATGTCGTAGAGACCGCTACAGACTTTCGCATGGCGATGGCTATAAGTGCCCCGAAAATTGAAGGTGAAATTAATGAAACAGTTATGGTCAATGACAAATACCGCGAGGATCACTTACTACGTTTATGGCGTTTAATTGGAGAGACAAACATGAATAGTTTTAGAGCATACTATTTATGTAACAATGAATATGCGAAGTTATTCCCATTTTTAAGTGTTTTTTTAAGGCATGAAAAGTATTTATCGCTTATTAAGCATATTTTACCTATTGTAAAATTTACACAAATCTTATCATCGTGTCTTTCATATCGTATTGAAAGACAGGATGCGCGTAAATTAACCTTTCGACAGTTCATAATAAATGAAAGTGAAAGTGATAATACTGGAGAAACTGCGAGGTCATTAAATGAAGTATTCAATAGTTTTGCTGACTCGTGGAATACTTTGGTTCCATATATTAAACGATATGATTGTACTGAGCTACCAAAGGAAATGCCAAGAATAAATGATAATTTCTCTGTCACCTATGGATTGTTGGAGCCGCTTAACGAATCTATATTTATATGCGCTGCAATAGATTTTGTGGCTAAGTTGCAAAATAATTTTCTCAAGGATACTTTAGTAATTCCCTCGGGAACTTGTGAATCTTTAAAATTCTTGGAACATACAAATATTCAAATTAATGAGCAAAACCAAACTGCAATCGGTTATCATATGCAATCTACTTCACTTGAAAACGCATTGGAAAAACATATAGTACAATATGATTGTGACAATAGTAGCAATGAAAATTTCAAATATAGCCAATTTGATTTAAGAATTGGATATGGTCAGGAAGTCCAGTATGATCTACATAAGATTGAGGCTGAATTAGCTCTATCATTAGTATATGAAAAAAAATTTATTGAGGCTAACAAACATGGATTATATTTAGATACTTTTATATATCACAAAGAAATGTTTAATGAGTCTATGAGAATCTTGCGTGAAATCAAAGATTTATTAACACAGGAGCCAATTCCAGATGATAAAAAATCAATATTTACAGGATCTTGTACAAATTCATTGCATGATAACATAGAAGGAACATTAACATTGGAGAATCCCAATGAATTACTTTCAACATTAGAGATGATTCTTTGTTTTCTTAAACGTACTTCGGGTGGAGATTGTAACATGTTAATTACAGAATATATAACACAATGGATGAAATTATCAGTATTGAAAGAAAATAATAGCTGTTACAAATTATTATTAAAAGCAGGACTACAACTCAAGCATATAGTTGCATTATACGAATTGGTCGAAGAACAAGTGGCAGATGTGGTCATTAACTATATTCCCTCAAAGTATCGGGCTGATTTAAGTGATCTAATCCAGCAAGATATCATAGAATCAATTGATCTTGAACAGGAACACCATGTTTCAAAACCTGCAAAGGCCACCAAAATTCCCGCCAAGTTATTTATTATAGCTTTGAAAAGATTCATTATAAGATATTTGTCTAATAGTACTAACAATGAAGTGTTCATTGAAAAGTCTCCTTTATCAAGTTACCTTGCAGATAAAGAGTCTCTGGAATGTTGGCCTGAAAATGTTTCTAAAGAAATTATTATTGATAATTTTCCAAAATCATTGCTTATCTCTCATGCATTTGCAACTTATCAATTAATTAAAAAGGAAATAGAGGTAATAAATATTCTATTTTGTTCAGTATACTTGTTTTAAAATAAATTGTTTTTATTAATTAAAATTTTTACGTTAGAAAATACAAATTGCCAAACAAGAAGCACAAAATAAAAAACTTAAAGCCAATCAACATAAATCACCAATTAAATCAAAAAGACGCTTAAATCTAAATAAAACTTAATAATCTTATTATCTAAAGTGTAATTAGGAAACTTTACATTCTATGCAAAATGAATGTATAAATAATAAAGATCTACAGTATAACTATTTTTTTTATTTTAATTTTACATATAAGCTTATATATAAATTTTCATAAAATTTTATTAGGTAACTGTTAAGATGTCTTCAAGTTTAAAATTTTTTATACATTTATCAAAATAAAAGTCGCAAAATTTTTTTAAAACTTTAAGCGAAGATATCTTAACAACCATCTAACCAAATTTAGTTTTATAAAATTTGATTTAATAATATTTAAAAGAGAATTGCTATTTATTACCGTGATCATTACCGGTGTATTAGTAGTTAAAGGTTAGGGTTGTATTTCATTACACGAGTGATCCTCATGTTGCATTTAATCCTGCAAATTTATTGTCTACTACACAAAGGTGATAATTACTGATGGTAATAAATAGCAAACTTTTATTTAAAAATAAGAACTATATTATATGGGATCTTTGCCAGTAAAATGACCCTACGAGCCATTGTTACACGAGAAATTTATTAGGAAAAACATAGTAAATCTATTTTTAGAAAAAAAATTCCTAGCAAAGATCCCATATAATAATAATTAATTTTATATTATAAGAAAAATGTATATATTGTTTATAAATTAAAAATAAATAAATTTTTAAAAAAACTTTTAACTAAAAAAATTAATTATTAATTTTTAATAAATTTTTTAAATATTAATTTTAAGTTTATAGTTCTTAATACAACATTATAACTTATATAAAGAATACCAACTTTATTATTATAATATTTTTAAATTGTTTATAATAATTTGAATCTGTATTATAAGTAAATGTTTTTTATTTTTGAAAATATATAAAATCTTAAAAAAAATTTAAAAATTTTTATAGTAAAAATTTTTAAACAAAAACTTTAATAAAATTTATAAAATATATTTTGTATAATATATTTTATAAGTAAAATATAACCTATATTATTAATAATTTATTGTTTATTTATAAAATATTAAATATTCAACTCTTTTTAATAATTACTTAAATCAAAAAGATAGTTGTAAATTTGTAAATAAGATCTTTAAAAGTAGATTCAAGAAGATCAAAGAGAATAGTAGCATTTTTGTTAATATTAAAGTTGCTATTATAAATAAGATCAGTTAAGAATTCAGATCATTGCCTAGCTAGTATATAAATAATATAATAAAATGAAGCTTTAATTGTTAGTTAAATAGCAGTAGTTAGTTTGATTTCTTTGTTAGAATAAAAGTTATAAGGGAATTTTTTAAGAAAAATAAAATTAAAAAGAGAATAGAGTTTGCAATTTTTTATTAAGTTGCATTTCTTTAGTAATAAAAAAATTTGCAATCTAGCTATATGTAGAGTTAAATTTTGGCTTAACAGTACTAAAATAAGATTGAAAAGAAGGTTTGTTAAAAGTATTATTAGATTGATTAGAATTGTTAAAGTTATTAAGATTTAAGTTAAAGTTATTAAGAATAGCAATAATTAAAAATTAATTAAAACTAGAATTAGCATTAGTAGTTATAAAGAAGAAAAAATTAATAAGATTAGAGATAATTGAAGAAGTTTAGTAAAAGGTGGCAATAGGAGGGTTAGCAGTTTGAAAAGAATTATTTAAGATATTTTGAAAGATTTAAGTAAGATTTTTCTTAGTATAAGATAAGCTAGCTTTATATTAAAATAAAACAATCATACAAGTAAGATAGTAGACTTTATTATTTTTTGTAATATATTTTTTAGTACAGTAGTAATGCTCATTTCTTTTGAATACAAATAATTGAAAAAGAGTATTTAAAACAGGTATAGTAGTATATATTAAATGTAAAAGATAAGTAAACACTATTAGTTGAGAAAAAAAAATTAGATATAAGTTGTTAAATTGGCTTATTTAATTTTTTTTTTTGAATTACTGTTAACATGAACTGTAATAAATTCAGTAGCTTAGATATGATTAATATTAGTAGGTAAGATGAATTTGGTCTAATATTTATCACAGAAGTAAGTAATTACTAAGCTAAAGAAAAAAGTTTAGAAAAAATAAATAATTTTGTTAAATTTAAGGTTTTTAATTAAGCAAGAAATAGGTTTGACTTTAAAAAAAAATAAATGAGCATTGTTGCATTTTCTTCTTTATAGAGAGTAATTTCAAAACTGTTAAAAAAGTTTTAGTAAATGTAATTAAGGTTTGTTATATCAGGCTCTTAATTGGTTAATATAGACATTTTTAAAATATAAACAAGTAAATAGATATTGTATCACAGAGCATTATATTTCTTTCTATTGATCCCATTTTACAAATTTAGTCAAAATACAAAATCATAAATAATTTAACAAATAATATAAGAAATATACAAATAAAGATTAAAAAAAAAAAACCAAATAAACAAAATATATAAGAAGAATATAAAGTTGCAGTAAAAAAAACCCCCAGAAGATACAATAATAACTTTAGTTAAAAAATAAAGAAAACTTCAAATTTTGAAAATTTTTAAAGAATTATAGCTAATTCTGAAAAAGAATAGATAAAAATACATGATTAATTATTTAAACAAACAACAAGTAAGCAAATATAGTATGTACAAATTTGGAAATAAACAAACAAACAAGAATAAAGATAAATAGAATTAGAAATATGAGGTAGTTAAGAACAAGACTTGGGTATATAAAAGTTATACAAACACAAAGTTTACTTAGATATGTTAATAATTATGAAATCAAAATAATAAAATATACAAATAACAATAAAATTATTAAAATTTTAAATACAACAAAACTAGCAAGCCCAAATAATATAAAGTTAATAGCAAAAAGTTTAGTTGTAAAAGATATAAACAGAATTACAGTATATAATTTGCTTCTATATAGTTAAATAATAACAGCTCTTAGAAAAACAAATAGCAAAAAATTATGAAACAAAAATATAAAAGAATATACTAAAAAAATTAGAAGCATGAGTTTATATTCAAAATCAGTTGAATTTCTTTTAAATATAAAATCAGAAAAGAATGTTAAAAAGAAAATAAGATGCAAAGAATAGAAATCATGATAAGTAATAAGAATATAAAAGCAAAAAAACAGTAAAAAAAGAAGACAACACTTAGAAAAAAAGAAAAAAAAAGAAAACAAAACAAAAGAGAAAAATATAAAAATAAATAATAAAACAGAAAAATAAAAGATAAAAAAGATACAAACTAAAAAGATAAATAAACAACTATAATGCAAAGAAGAAATAAAAATTTTCTTAAAACAAAATGTATAGATTCTAGCAAATAAAAAGTACAGTAATAACAGTTTATACAAAGTAAAAATACCAGTCAGCAACCTGAAAAGAACTATAATTCAAGAAAGACTACAATATATAAAAAGTTTGTTAAAAAAAACAAATATATAAAATTAGTCAAAGAAAAATCAATAAAAGAAAACAAATAAGTAAAGTTAAACTTTAACTGTAACATTAGTCAAGAAACAACAATAAAAGAACTTTATAGAAAAAAACATAATCAAAGCAAAAGCTATTAAAGAAAAAGAAACAAGAATAAAACAATATGTAAGAACAAGAGTATTATATAAAAATTAAAAAAAAAAGATCTTAATAAAAATACTTAATAAAAAAGAAAAAAAAAACAGAAAAGTAAAAACAGACAAGTTTTTAATGATTTAAGACCTTCTAGCAAATATAAAAAAAAAAGAAGTTAAATATATATTGTTAATCTACAAAAATGACCATAACTCTTGAACTACTAAACAGAATTCGATAAAACTACTACCATTCGAATCAGCTCACTGAGATGGTTCTAATGAGATATAGATCATCTATTTCCAATCACAGAATCACAAGATCGAATCCAATAACCAAATTAATAAGAAAGCTGTGATCTGATTGGTTGAATAATTATTGCGCAAAATATCATACATATAACATATATCAAATTTATGCATTTTGAAGCATCTATATTTTATATTATATTTAGTTTACATATATTATTTAGT